ATATATATATATATATATATATATATATATATATATATATATATATATATATATATTGCACATATAGCACATATTGCACAGTTGGTTGGTATTTATTTAGCAGCAAGGGGTGATAGTCGTTTCAATTGGCCAATCAGAGAGCTCGTTTCAATGTGCTAATCAGAGGGCTTTTTCAGTAAGCCAATAAGAGGGTTCGTCCCGATGGGCTAATAAGAAGGCTTGTTTTAATTGGGCCAATCATGTGACTTGTTTAAATGGGCAAATGAGAAGGCTTGTTGCAATTGGCCAATAAGGGGGCTGATTTTAATAAAAAGTTGAATCATCATAAGACATTTAACAGAAAGTATTATTAGCAAGTATGCAAGACTGTCTAAAAGTGGTTTCGTTTGCCTCCAATTATGACCCTGTGAATGCCAAAGCAAATACAAAGTAACATTCCAACTACTTCTATTTAGTTTTGCCATAATCAATCTGTCATTATTTGTTGTCAAGAGTGTTCTGCCCTCGTGTGGTCAACTTGGTGAACTAGATACGTAAGATAAGTTATAATGTGGACAAAGATTTAGTTACCTTTTGCTGTATACAGCAATAATGATTGATACGGAGTCTGCCCTCCGGATGGCTTTGAACACTGGCATTGCAAGAGCCATAACTCGATGCTACTCTGTTACTTTTAAATACCACTGAGATATGTATAATATTATTAATTGAGACATAGTAGCAGTGTGGTTATGTGGAATAGTAAAACTAGCCTGAAGAAGAACATTACACACCCGATCCCGCTCCGGGCTGCTAGGAACCATATGAGTAGTCTAATGTTTCCTGTCGACGCTTTATATGAACGGAACGATTTCAGAGTGGAGTAATCAACGCAAACCGGTAATTCAGATGCAACTATTCTTAATGCTGTTAAACTTTCTTTCTATATGTGAGCACTCTAAGGTTTGCATTTTTGTGTCCCTTCATTTTACACGAACGCCATTTGATTTGGCTGTAACCTAGTAACGGTTAGCAGCACTATAATGAAACGGGTTGCTATGCGTGTTGATACTGTTGGTGTTAGCATCAAATGCTACCATCCACGGTTCATAAACCGCTCAGAGACGTTATCAAGCTTAATTTTACGCTCACTGACAATTGTATTCGTAATTTAACAGTATGTAACTCTCATGGACATGGGACCAGTGTTTTCTGTCCACATGAACTATTGCTACAGTCGATTAAAGCTAAATATAACAAGTCTTTGTCAGCTTGCTAAGTGTTACTTACTGTTGTTACTATTTCCAACAGACACTGCTTTAGCTACATACATTAACATGCACAGCTGCGTTGGATACATTGCCACTTACCAATAACACATGGATGAATACTAGGGCCACTTTACTTTTTTATTTATATGTAACGTGTTTTAAAGTCACATCAAACCGTTATGTGGAAACAAAGCCTTTATTAACCCATTTTTCCTGTTATCACAGTGAACCCACTGGCCAACTATTGATGTGGTAGTTTATCCACAGAAACGACCAACCATGACTTCACTGGTAAGTGTTCACTCTTTTGACTTTCAACAACAAAATACAAAATGTCTCTGTTGTCCCTGTTAATGAAGTCTGCTTGTGCAGCGATGTAATCTTATGACAAGTTAACCGTAATGCAGCTACAAGTGAGTGGCCTATGTTCACCTATATATTTATATTATTACTCACATTTTATTTTACCAAAAAGTCCCATTCACAAACATGTATTTTACAACCTGGCCGTGGTAGCAATTGTACAAAAGCACTCATTAAAACTCAACATGTGTGAAATGATATGTAAACACTTCCACATAAAACAGAAGCAGAAGGAAAAACACACGCCTCCATTACCACATTTTTTGATGCCCTTAAACTTATCATGAATACAGCATTTTCTTTTTCATTTATGTTCAAAAGAGGAGGTGGTCTGTTTTGGTGCTGCATGTCATTTAAATGGCATCACATATGGAAAGATAAAGCCTTTGTTTGTCTTACAGGGGAGCAGCAGTTCCCCGTCTACAGAATACACAGTGCGAGTCCCAAAGTGAGTACCGTGCAAATATCCCAAGAAGAATGTCCGCACAAGCCTTGTATCACATACCACCGCTTTGTGTGTGTTAAAATGATTACATTTATTTCTCTTATTGGTGTTTTGCAGACGTTCAATTAAATAAAAGCCCTATCTGCCAGATGCTGTTATATATTTTTATAAATCAATATGGATTTATTGGACTGAGTTGTTTTTCTGTTTATGTAGTTGTCCGTGCATGGAATTGGTTATGATCAGACAATACATTTATTTCTGTATTCTGTTTGTCTCTTAGAAACACCAACAAGAAGTACAGCATTATGGGTTTCAATTCAGGAGACAAGGTCAACTGTTCTGCCTGGACACAGGTGGGTTTCATGTCAGTGTATTTTCATGTGACAGACATTTTGAGCACTCCCTGTGTGGTGGGGCACGGAGACAGTACTGAAAGAGAGAAACGACAAGCCGTGTGATCACCTTAAAAAGAGTTTAGGAAGAGATAAAGAATACAACAATATGAACATTGGATAAAGCCATGCTCAACATTATTTAACATGTTTAATAATGGGATTTATCTCACTGTTCATATCATCATATCAATACTGTCAATACAATTTCCCAATGTCTTTGAGAGGTAAATCAATAAAGATTGAGATATTTCAGAAATAACTAAATACACATTTTAAAATATTGATTGGAGAGTTTGGTCTATTTAAATGCTACTGAAGGTACCATAACATGCAGGTGAGTGGGGAAATATGTGATAGACTTTATTCTCCCTGTGTCACCATCCCTAGCTGCGTGCTTACGTTAAGGCAATTATTACTTGTTGGACTGCAAGTTTCCTTTCCATGTTGAGTTTAAATACGCAAATGAATCATTAAGTAACGTTTTCTTTAGGTGCATTTACAATAAATCTACAGAAGCTAACCAATGGTATTGTAAATGTTTCGACTAGTCTGAAAGAAATGTTATGTAAGGAAGAAGCCCAAACTCTTAAAATTGACCAGTGCATAAATAATAATATTCGCCTTTTAATTAGCAGCCACATGGTCCATCGTTCAGTTTTGCAATTCTCCCTACCTCTCCTTTGCCAGGCTCGTATGGAAAGAGACATGAGTGCTCGGCGGATATACGGGGAGGAAGAGTCGGTGGATGGCGCGGCTGGCAGTGAGTTTGGCAAAAAGCAGCGCGAGGAATCACGGCGGAAGAAGTATGGCATTGTGAAGCGTGAGTTCAAAGTGGAGGACCAGCCCTGGATTCTCAAGGTCAATGGCAAGGCCGGCAAGAGGTGAGGAGATAGACGCTGATGTATCTTCAGCATCGTACTTTTTTAACATGTATAAGTCTGGAGGGAACAGCTACATATTTGTGATGTCATTTATATGTTTTCATATTCGCTACTTCATACCTATATCTTTCAGCCATCCACTTGTCATTTTGAAAAGTTCTTCCATGTGTTCTATTCAGTTTAAACAGCCAGCTCACAATGCACTGCCTTTCGAAAGTATTAACCCCCCTTGCGTTTTTACTATTTAATTGCATCAAAACCTGTTATATAAGGATATTTTTGGATTGATTGTAAAATTAGATGTGCGGTACACAACATGATGCTTTAATTGAAGATTGAGGCAGCACAATATTTATTTAAATAACATGCTCTAAACTTGAGCACGCATAAGTATCCACTCTCCAAATTCAGTACTTTCTACAGCCACATTTTGCAGCAACTACATCTGCAAGCTCTTTGGGTATGTCTCTAAAAGCTCCGCAGATCTATCTGATGAGATTTTTCCCGTTCTACTTTTCAAAACGGCTCGAGCTCCTTTAAGTTTTTCGGGTTTTGCTGAAGTAGAGCAATCTTCAAGTCTTACCAAAGGGTCTCCATTAGGGCTGCTCGATTATGGCAAAAATCATAATCTCGATTATTTGGGTCAATAATTGATATCGTGATTATTAAAAACGATTATCGATTTACTTTGAAAAAAAAGTTTTTTTAACAGTATGTTCAATCAACTGTTAAAAACATACTGTTCACATTTTATTTTTCAATAAATGGAGGTTTTCAAAGTAAATGGATAATCGTTTTTAATAATCGTGATAGCAATTATTGACCCAAATAATCGAGATTATGATTTTTAAGTATAATCCTACTGAAAAACCAATAAAAAAAAAAATCAAATTAATAATAGTTTTATTTCGATTATGTTGTTTACATAATCGTTGCAAGCCAAAATCGTAATTGCGATTTAAAATACGATTAATTGAGCAGCCCAGTCTCCATGAGTGTGTATATGCAGGTCTGTTGGGGAATCCTTCCTGTTTGGATTACAGCAGTCCTCTCCCTCTGTCTGTGTCCAGGTTCAAAGGTCTAAAGAAGGGTAGTGTTACAGAAAACGCGTCCTACTACATCTTCACACAGTGTCCCGATGGGGCGTTTGAGGCCTTCCCCGTCAACGGCTGGTACAACTTTGTACCACAGGCCAAGCACCGAACGCTCACTGCTGAGGAGGCGGAGGAGGAGTGGGGCAGGTGAGAGGGTGGGGGAGGAACAGGGAAGGATGTTTTGTTTGCAGTAAAGGAAAAGCAAACTATAAGTACAAACACTTAATATCAGACATTATCTTCGTTTTACAGACGAAACAAGGTGGTGAATCACTTCAGCATCATGCTTCAGAGACGTTTCCGGGAGCAGGAGCGCGGCTGCGATGATGACGACGATGAGAACGAGAAGGGTGGGAAGAAGAAAAAGAAGGGAGGGAGAGGGGGCGACCTGCGCATTACCGACCTGGAAGAAGACCTGGAGATGAGCAGCAGCGACAGTAACAGCAGTAACGGGGATGGTGAGAAGAAAGGGTTTTCTAGTAATCAATATTCTCAAGTTCTGACATACTTCCTGTTTGGATTACACATTTTGACTCCCCGGCCGTTTCTCAATCTCGAGGAAACTGGCTTCCAAGCCAATATTTCAAGGATGCTACGTCATCGAGTGCCGCCGAAGGACTGTGCCAATCTCCAGCATACTTGGAATTCCACCGAGGCCGCCTCCTTGGTTTGGGGGTAATTTCGAGGCTGCACATGGGTAGACTTCGCGTCCTTAAAATCCCCACAATGCTTTGCGCACGGACCAATTTCCCCAAATCTGTGGTGGAAAATGTAAGGCGGGGCCTCTCATATGACGCACACTTGCTAGCCTGTTCCACTCTTCGTTTTCCGAATGCCAGGAAGGATTCTTGCCTCGCTTCTGAAGGAAGTGACTCGGAAGACATGTGCTACCAAGCAAGCATCCTCGTGATTGAGAAACGGCCCCTGTCATTACGTGATTTATTATTATTTATTTTTTCTCCCCCCCTTTTCATTGAACAGATGGAGAGAGCAAACCAAAGAAGAAGAAAGAAACAGGGAAAGGAAAAGGGAAGAAGAAGAAGAAGAAGGGCAGTGACAAAGAGGCCTTGGAGGACAGTGATGACGGAGACAACGAGGGTCTAGAGGTGGATTACATGTCGGATGAGAGCAGGTCAGACACCCCACACTATACAAAAACAGTTTTTGCTCGTTGTATTTATTCTTTGAATAGTTTGAACCTCTGTTTTCCTTCTGCAGTTCAGACGAGGAGCCAGAGAAGGGGAAGATGAGCAAAGGAGAGGACCACCCCAAAGGTCCGACTTTGACTGTATTTCCATGTTTACGGCCTAACTGCCACCACTGAATGAATGATTAGTAAATAGGTTGTTCTACATCCAATATTTGTTCTCCTTTTACAGGAATAGACGAGGCGTCTGAAAGTGAGGAAGAGAGTGAGGAGGAGAAACAGAACGAAGAGGAAACAAAAGAGGAGGAAGAAGAAGAAGAGGCGAAGACAAAAACGCCAGCTCCAGCAGAAAAGAAGAAGAAAAAAGGTACAGAACTCGTGGAGACCGATGAGGGTCGGATAAAATGCATTCACAATCTGTTCTGCTTGAGGAAGGTCAAATCAAATGATGGTCTCTGGTTCTGTGTCACAGACAGCAGCGGCGAGTCGGAAACCTCAGACGACAGCGACATCGAGGGAGAGACGGCCTCAGCTCTGTTCATGGTGATTAGTGTGTGTGTGTGTGTGTGTGTGTGTGTGTGTGTGTGTGTGTGTGTGTGTGTGTGTGTGTCTACCACCTGANGACAAATATAAAAGACTATCTTTTTACATACAAAATACATGAGACTCAATACTCGCTTGTTGTACTTTTGCGGGCATCCAATTCGCTAGGGGGCGATGTTGCAAAACAACTAGAAGTCTGTATCTACTTGTCTGTATCTACTAGTCTGTATCTGCCGCCTCCGACGCTGCAGCTTCATACTATTGAAATGAGTGTAGATTGTCTTTGAGAACTGCTCACCTGTGGAGATTGCAGTGGCAAAGTGTTCCTGTGTAGCTGGAACAGCACTCTGCAACCACAATGTTGCACTGCTGTTCCAGACCGCACACTACTCCACACTCAACCTGGCTGCTGCACCCCCTGTCCTCAGCTGCACTGAAACAGAGCAGCGATGGCACAAGCCAAGAACCATGGTAAGTACAGTATGTGTTCACAACCAATCCACGGTTTAATGAGTATTTCCTTTGTGCCAAGAGCTGATTTAGTATGTTGCATCAACGACCTTTTCAATTAATTTGACAATTATTTTGTGTAATTAATAGGGTGTGAAACCAGGCAGAGTAAGTGACATGGTGTTCATTTCCACTAAGCCAAAGCAGTTTACAGTTGCTGATGGTGTAAGGTAATATCTATTGTCCTAAGTAATTGTATGTAGCATTTTTTGTATCTACTTTCTGGATATTGTACATCTGTTCATCTGTTATATAAACTAGCATTACTTAAATATGCAGAGACTAATTGAAATGTTTAAATAAGTATTTTCCCCCCCGATATAACATGAACCTATGTTTTGTAAAAGTTTATTAAATGAATCTGTAAAATGTTATCATATTGTGGATTTATTAAATTATGTATTTTCCTTTGTTATTTATGTGTGCGTTTGTTTTGAGGATATAATTCATTAGTACCTAAACATAGTATGGTATAACGGCTTTTTGTAATGACCACAATGAAATATTGGTTTGGGAGCAAGAAATCTTTTAATCGTTGTTGCCCAGGCTTGCCGAAATGAATGGAAACTTATCTCCCGATTATAACGGGACGAATTTGTACAAAGGGGCACACAGCAATGTAGTGCCGACTTTCTTACACGCTGGAAGGCCAATCGCTTTTATTTACCCCGAAATCCGCTCATTCTTGCTCTTGGTGTGTCATAACAAACTATCAAGCTGTCAAGCTGTCAAAACTCTGTACTCAAACCGGAAGTACTCGGCCTCAGTGCTTAAACAACAGTATCACTTTTTTAGCATTAAAAAGATGAAACTGACCTTCATTCAGAGGTGTGAAGGTGAAGTTGGGGCGGTAGCGTCTTAGCTTAGCATTGCTGGCGGTCTTCTTCATCTGGCCATCAGACATGGTGGTGTCAAACTGATGTTAGCGGTTAAGGTGTCTGAAAATCTCCCTTGGAAGTGGTTGCTCTCGATTAGGCGTCACTAAAAGAAAATGTTATGAATAATTATGTTTCTTTCTTGTGTTCAACTTAATAATAGGTTGTAGGTATCAGCAAAAAAAATACCCATATTGTGCTTCCCTATAGGAAATAAGGTTAACAGTTTAGTGTTGATCTGTTCTGTATATCTCAGGGTCAGTAAACCAATAAGCATCTCAAAGTGATAAACTGGTCTGTGCACACTGTGTAGCATCATTTGGAAAGTATAAAAGGATACTTGTATTTTTCCTGTAAAATCCAGAGCCTTTGCGATCAAGTCCTCAGCCTCTTTGATTGAGAGTTCCTCCTCTTCACCCACTGAAAAGAAATCCACAGTAAAATGTATATCAAAAGACATTTGTTTTTAAAAAGAACTCCCCCCAGTTGTTTTTGTCATATGAAACAATCGGAAAAATACCCAGAAGCACATTTTAATGATTGCTACAGGTGAGCAGAGCAGTGTACTCACCAGAGAGGATAATGGGGTCAATTTCCTCATATTCTCTCAGGACCCAAACGATTAGACGACCCAAGTCCTGAGAGTAAACGCAGACCATTTAAGAATGTTTGTCATTATTTCCTCTTGATAGCCAGAGATTCCTTTGGCCAAAATAAAAAAAACAATATACAAAGCAATTGTATACAACCACATGCCAATAATAAGGACTATATTGATGACTCGTACCAGAGAGTAGATGAACTGTCTCCTCGGAGCTCCAGAGCCACAAACGTTAACAGGACTTCCTTCTTCTGTGAAAGGGAAAATAGTCTTTATTACATAGTTATTGTCTGTTTCTGTATATGTTATTGACTGCTTCTTGTCAGTTTGGAAATCAAGGTGCATTAATGTGTCAGCGTTAATCACTTTTGGCTGTGTACGTCTTGTTAACCAGTGCCGACAGCACGTGACCATTCTCTATGCTGAAGTTGTCGTAGGGGCCAAACACATTGGTGGGGATGACCGCTGTGTAACGATGACCGTACTGCTGATAGTACGCCCTGTCAACACGCACGCACGCACGCACGCACGCACGCACGCACACACACACACACACACACACACAGAGTAATGAGACAGAGTAGACACAGACGATCACTTTTTCTGCATGCATTTATATTCCCCTTTTAACTCTCCAGCACCAACAGTAAATAACATTTATTTGTTGTGTCATGACTCATGACATCCTTAACTAGAAACTTGATCCCTCACAGAGCCCATTGTGCTTTGCGACATTCACAAATTGAACTGAAAACACCTGTATCAGTGGATAACAATCAACTATGGATGCTGTCACAGAGCAGTGGATTGTGTTCAGGCATATAGGCAAAGCCAAAAGTTAAATAAGCGCTACAAAAGACAAATTAGAAGCTATCTGCCTTACCGGGTGCAGACCCCCACATTTCTTTGTAGAGGATGAATGCATGTCAGATGCACTCTTGTTTCTACACCCCACCCCTGTTTGCACCTCAAAGCTGCATACCTGTTCTGAACATCAATCAACCTTTTGGCATGCGAGTATCCAAAATTGGAGTCATGTGGTGGTCCGTTGTGTATCTATGAGAGAGGGGCATTAAAATACAGATAGACTTAAAGCAATGCCTTTTGCTAAAAATAAGAATGATTGCACTAAATTGCTCTGTAGCAACATGTACCCTGTCATCATTTAGTGGCATTAAAGGTCACCTATTATGCAAAATCCACTTTTTCATGTCTTTTATACATAAACATGTCCTTTTTTTTAGAATAAATATTTTCCTTACAAAAGTCGATTTAATCTCAACAAATATCCATGTAATTAAACAAAGGTCTAATTAAAAAATAAAGTATACCATAGTCTCATCGATGGGGTATGTTGTCTTGTCAGGGAAGATGCAACTGGACAGGCAAGACACCATTTTGGTGACGCCCATCTCGTGGGCTGTTTGTAGCACGTTGTCATTGATTTTGATGTTGTCCCTCTGTGAAGGTGTCAGACTATTAGCCATTACATTTAAAAGAAAATGTAGATATTCTTCCTAAGACTCCACTTTTACAATAGATTTTCTGAGTTAGATCATGCTCTATCTCACCAAAAAGTGCAGGTTCTCCTTCATGTGCAGATAGAGTCCTCCCACTTTGGCAGCCAAGTGGATGACATGAGTTGGACGATACTTCTCAAACACAGCCCTGGTCTGCCCAACATCTCTGTTTTAACATGTATTTAGAATCGGATAGACATTGGAAAAACACACAATTCATTAAGTGCCTGTTTGTTTTTCCCTGCACTATAATATCCATGTTGGAACTCATCAATAATCAATAATAGTCAAAAAAAATTGTAGGGACAGTCGGACAGAAGAGTATGATTGAGACAACTTACACAAGATCAGCATCTTTAGAGGAGAGGAAGGTCCATTCCTCTCCCTCCAGTTTCCCACCTTCCTCCTGCGCCACATGCTCAATGGCTTTGCCCACCAACCCAGATCCACCCGTCACCAGGACACGCATTGGCACCACTTTGATCTCTGACCCCATCTTCTATAGCTGTGCTAAGTGAAAATAACACCAATAAAAACAAACATTTCCCTCATTACATTACTTTAAATCTGATAGACATGAATAGTGTCCATTCATGTCTATCATAAAAGCAGATGAACCATTTTTTTTACAAAAAGGAGAAAAATTCTGAGCTGAATAATATAAAAGTCCTTACCTAATTTAGAGAGCAGAAGTAAGTGTTGGCATTGCTATAGGCAGTCCTGTCTATGGACCGTGTGTGTGCTGTTCTTTTAACCTGACCCCCCCCCTTCACTTTGAAATAATGAACAGGTGTTGGTTGTGAGGCTGTGTAAGACTCCTCCTATAGCATAGTCTGCTTTGTGATTCATGCAGATGCTACCATCTAATGGCCATGTATTTTAGACATAACTTTATGCATGTAAATACGCACACATACTGTATATGGTGCACTCAAAATTAAAAGATGAGGTACTTAAAAAGGTGTGATGAAATTAAGTTGAAATAATAGTTGCAGTCAAGAGAGAACTTTGTCCTGCCGCTTTAAATACATATGTGAGCACGCTGGGAGTGTGTATAAAAAATGTCCACAGCTTCGACGAACTAAAAAGAAAACAGGAATGAAAAGAATCCAAGTTCACTTTACATTTATTTGGCAATTATTCACAAGAGTTTGTATTGTACATAAGTGGAGGAACACCTGCATAAAAACATGAATAATCACAGGAGCCAATCCGCTATCTTATGGAGAACCAACAACATATAAACAATTATTTCATACATTTAATTGAGTGGTTATTGACGAACGACAGCCTATGTGGCGCAGGTGCACTCGCTGTGAAACACCACCGCTAGTATGCTGGTTCATTTAAGTACTGTTGTACTGTGACTCAATCCAATAAATATTTCTCAATTGTACAATATGGAGAGTGTCTCAACTGCAATAAATGTCCCGGACACTTTACCATAGATGCATATCATATCAATATATTAACCAAACAAAACTTGGTAATTTATGGTACATATTTTTAGATCTTAATGGTGATCAGTGACATCATTCTTTATTTATGTTATGTATTGTTCATTTCCAAGCTGAGAGGAAGTGGTTGTTAACTCGGAAGGTTCCGACAGATGACGGAGATTCGACGCAGCCGAGGCACTCTCTGTCCGTTAAAAACAGACTCCTCGTCTTTCAGGATCTGGTGAGTGAAGTTATATCTGGCCTGGTCCCTGTATGGGAGAAAGGAGAGCAGGGTGAAACAAATAACAGTGCTTTCAAAGTCAAGGATTTAACAACTATAGGACATAACTCAATGACAATATACGTAGACCACATGCTGGACCTCAGTATGTAGAGGGAGAATCGGGGCAGCAGCAGGTCCAGCCATTCTTCGGCATCATCCTCCTTCATTAAGCGCATGATGCTGTCTGACAGGAGACTCAACCCAGCAATGGTGCTGCCGCAGAACTGAAAAAGACAGAGAGAACGACAGTAAGACCACATCTGATGGGGTAACAGCGGAGCCAACACAAAAGGCTGTATCAAACTGTTACAGTGCTGATGGTATTGTAAATGTTAGAGCATTTGTGATTGTTTTCTTTGTCTGAATGCAGAGAAAAAACAAGACAAACCTTGACACTGTCAATGTGAGGCTTGATGTAGCCAGTCTTGTCCAGATCCAGAATGTGCACCGGCCCGAGGAGAGGACTCCCCTCAGGAAACGCTCCAGATCGAACACGACTCAAGACCTCCTCACACCTTTCCCCCCACATCACTCGCTCAGTCTCTCGGTACCCGTGAATAGCCTGAATGAGGTGAAGTGAACACAGCAGAAATGACAATTTCACCGTCATTTAAAATACATTGGTGCTTTAAGTTAGCAGTGAATGGCAAAACTGTTGAAATAATGAGCAAAAATAATTCAACAGCCTGTGTTGGTGCTGTTGGTCACTGGAAACATTTGCATACAAAGTTATTAGATGTGTTTTAATGTGAAACTATGTGTCTATTGCAGGCTTGTGTTGCACTTGTTTTAATGTAGATTCTTACTAATTGTTATTGCTGCAAACGTAGGCCAGAACAGTAGAGTGGGGTTATTAAGAGATTTGCATAACCAAAGACTATAACCGGAAACAGGAAAATACACAACAGGTGTAGGATTTGGCTAAACAAATAAATGTTTTATGTTATATAGTTACTGACAGATTCAAGAGAAGGTCTATATTTTGATAGCTATGAGAGAAGGCTGCAAAAGTGATCCTTTATTTTCTTGATAGGTTCTAAAATGTCAGACGGTAGCCTTCATCACGTTATTAATTGAGCTTAATTTATCGTAATTATGTAACAGGTGTGCGTTGTAACTCCTAGATGCACTTTGAATAACCAAACGTGAAATGTGTCTATACCCTTCTCAACTATTATCCCTGTACTTCTGAAGTACTTACACCGTCCCAATGGTCAAATTCGTAGCGTTTCTTCTTCAGGCCTAGCTCCAGCTCTTGCATGAAAGCCCCTTCCTCCTCCTCAGTGATGAAGCCCGTCCTCACCTCCACCTGTGGGCCGAGTCTCTGCACCAGCTCCGGGTTTGACCCGACGATGAGAGCCTCATCCCGGAGAGGCAGCAGGCCGCTGCGGGCAGACGAGCTCCGGCAGCGGGGCTGACTGCTGTAAACGGCTGGTTTGTGTATTCGTTTTAATACATTCAGCAACAGTTTCATCCTCCTGTATGTTATATTATTATAAACTCACTACACCGTCTTGTTTAGCTTCAGCTTTGTTTTGGTCTTGTAGCCAGAAGTCAAGCAGTTCTGTGAGACGCCATGTTGAATACGCGTTGCATTGTGGGAGGCGTAGTCTTCGCTCAGAACCAACGTCACTAGAAAATAAATGTTTTTTAGTTTTTCCCACACTAAATATACATTGGTCTGAAAAAATATTTTTGATAAATATTATTAATGGCTATCTCAAAAATAATATAATATAATATATAATAATATATTACCTAAATTACGCTATGCCCTTTGGCATAGACTGAGTAACCTTGGGAAGGTGACATGCAGTCTAAGAGTCTAACACATTTCTCTGATAACAAACTTATTTTAGGACATGTATTTATCCTATATATACTGTTTTATATCAAACATAATTGGAGCTTGACTTGCTTGGATGCTTTTGTATGAAGTGCCTTGTATTACTTACACTTAATTTATTGATTAATCAAATAGAAATTGATCATACTCTCTATAGACTTATTGTCTTGTATTTTTATATCGTATAATGATCCTGAGAAGGCAAGACAATCAGACAACAAGGTACAATGAGGACACATTTGAATTACAATCAATTATGATATCATTTCCAATCAGCTTGCATATATTGCTTTATATATCATATGTGCACTTCCAGACGTGCATGCAGGTATGAGCCTTACAAGAAGCTTACTAAGTGCAACCTTTCTTCTTGCTCTTTGGCTCCTATAGCTTTAGGATGTGAACACACAGAGGAGAGGAGTGACTGCAGATGTTGCAGTTCTTCCTTGTGACCACTGGAGGGAAGTGGAGATTCATGAATGTGAACAGACTCAGGTTAGTATCTACTCCATCTGTGCTAACAGCTGGTGAAAACCTTAGTAAGTAAAACGTTTAGAATAAATCAAGTGGTGTTTCTAACAAGTGTGTGAACGCAGGTGGACAAAACACTCCCTAAGGTCTTTATGCAAGGCTGCTTGTTGTTATGCAAAACATTGTACTGATTTGTTTCAAATCATATTATTTTATTTCATAAGCTAATGATAACTGAATTGTTCACTATGCAACGTACTTGAGTAACACACCCTATCATAATCAAACAATAAAGAAGTACGCAAATAACTGATTGTGTATTGAAACAAATAAGAAATGTGTATATTTAGGGGGGAATACAGGAACAGAATATACAGAAATTAACGGGAAAAATAAACAGAAATCAATCCAAACATAATTACATGAGTTCATAAATAATACAGTGTTCGTTATGTTCTGTGTACCTGAATAAGGGAGATGAGAAACACATTTGAAGGATTGAAAAAGAAATGCACCATCAAAAGAAAGGGAGAGCTCTGAGAGCAGATTAGGTGGTGACTTCATCCTCACAAGAGAATCTCCCAGAAAAAAACACCAGGCTATTTACCACCAAGGACAGTTTACTGCTGTCTCTCTTTCCCTCTCTGTTCTGCTCCATCTTTTGTTTACAGGCGAACCCTTTGTTAGTGGAAAATGGGTAAACAAGGAGAGTGAGACACTTCCTCTACCCTCACAGGAAATCTGTAGATCCTAAAACTGATGTTTAAATTGTGTATCAGACGGCTCGAATCTAAGAAGGGTAACTGTCAGGGAGCCAGGAGGAGATCGAGAAACAGAGGAAGGAAAAAGAGGAAACGTACAATCTTTCCACCTGCATTATTCTATATAATTATAGATCTTTATAAATGCATTATTTAGGAGTTCTTATTTAGGTTTCTTTGCACATTGGTCTATCCACCATTCACATTTAGCTTTTTAGCATGTGAGCATTAGCCAATATGTAACATGCAATTCCAAACGCCTACTGCATACATACAAGGATTGTTAGTGCTCCTTCTGTGAGCCTGCTGTTGGTCTCGGTCAGTGAGCATCTATAATAAAACTAACTCATACCCCCCCCTTCCCTCCAACACACACACACACACACACACACACACACACACACACACACACACACACACACACACACACACACGCGCCCATTTCATTGTTGGATGCCATGTTGCTGCCCCCAGCATTACACTCATCCAGCCACGATGAGTGTTTTGGGCTCATATTCTCATTCCCAGTTGGTGCACTCATTTAAAGCTTCTACGATTCACTGCATTATCATCGGTCAGCGTGTCCTGGAGGCATCATTATGTCTTCTGGTGAATCATGCAATTAAACTGAAATCACCACAGAAATACTTGCCAGTGCTCACAAGGTATGTGTGTTGAACCTGTCTTAAAGGGAAACTGCACCAATGTAACACATCAGTGTCTGTTTTTCTTAGGAAGTACTACCCGATATGTAAAAAGTCATATAACGGTAAGCCTTTTTGTGATTCCAGAGGAACTGTGGGAATTCTGCTAAATTGCCTCAAGTGATTTCCTTTCCATTGAATGTACATCACAAGTCGAGCAATGTTATGGCAGTGAAAGGCTCAGTCAGTCAGTCAGTTCACTTATAAGCTACCACCGTGAGGTTGACCTAAGGACACTCACAGTGGGTAAAAGCAGGGAAAATGCAGTATAAATCTCTTATGTTGTTTAGAGTTTCAATACCTGAGTGTGTGTATCAACTTTGGTGTAGTGAAAAAAATAAGAGGCCGTGTTAAAGATATTTTGTAATATCTTTAACACTGCCTTTTATTTTTCCAGTCCATCTTAAAAAGTTGGT